CATTTTTCCAAATCATAATTTCGTGTTGAGTGTGAAAAGTTTCACCTTTAAATTCTATCTTTGAAAGGAGTTCTTGCCCTATAAAACAAGACGCTCATTTTTCAAAGATCCTGTTCCCATGAATTTTTGAGTGCCTAATATTGAATTTCAAGACGACAGCATTCTTGAGCATTCCATCCTTTCACTTTACATTTTTTGTTTGATGAAGAGCCTGACGCGCAAGTCCCTTTAGTGTCGCCAGGGCGCGAGGAAATTATGTCTCGAGCGAATAGCACAAGAACGGTCAAAAGATGCTCAGAGATTTCTATTTTGATCTTACAGACTGAAAACGCTCCAGACTGCACGTGCCCCTATTGATTCTTACTGGAAGCTGTGAGACAGCTTATCAGCGGAGATTCACACCAATGAATGGGGCTAGTAGGTGTCGCGGGAGGGTACCTCATTCTCATCGATCACCTCTTCACTTGGTCAGAGAGGTCCAAAACTTGGTGCAGAGTTTTCGTAGTCGCTTCCTAAGGGAGCCTCCTATGAGATGCATAATTGGTGTGATAAGCTGTCTTTTGTGCCGACTCAACGCTCTATTTTCTTAGAACTGAAGAATAACAAAAATTAAGAAGGGGTAGGAAACTAAGCACACTTCTCTTCTTGTAAACAGGGAGTTAGTTGTAGAACATAGGCGTAGAACACATGAAGAAATCTTTTCACTTTTTATGCAAATTTTGTCTAAGTAAAAACACCATTGCTCGTGGGTAAACCGTATAGATTCATTATAGATCATTGATTTCATCAAAGTAGGCTATGTACGCAAATGTAGAGAGAGCAGAAAACGGGTATGTGGCAAGAGAATCGTAATTCGCCGCTCAGTGGGCGTCGCGTGCGACGTCGCGCCCGCTAATGACGACGATTTTAGGTGGTATTGGTCGAGAATAGACAATGTATGACAAAAATAGACATAAGTGTCTACCATGTCCTTGTCTACATGAAATCCGATGCTCCAATCGAAAGGGTAGTGCAAATTGAGGAAACGTCGCGCCCACTGCCGCGCGCGACGAAGCGGCAATTTACGATTCTCTTGCCCGTCTCCCGCAGAGTATTGCTGCATTTAAGAGGACTAAGTTGAAACTCCGAAAGAAAAGCTGGTGCCAGTGAAGAAAGCAGAAAACGGTGAGAGTATGACGTTTGAGGAAAAAGCTTCTCGAGGGTAACATAGTGGCGGACCACTAGATGGCCTCTCTCGTCTCCTATCTAAACTTACCATTACACGCGGACAACCAAAGTCGCGGAGGGAATGTCTCGCGAGAAAAACGTCGTCTTCATTAGGCCTGAGCCTTGATCAGGGGCAAGGACACAAGGCTCGGCCTTACCACCCGCTCCTCCATCTCCTGCCCCCACCTTACTCCCTCCCAGCTATCGTTATTCCCAGCCGAAGTGCCTACCCTCATCTCCCCATACATTTTCCGTTCCTTCTAAGTGAATTCCGGCATGTAAATCTGAAACACCATTCCACTGATAAGGAGGACAACTCTACAGTGTTCTAGCGACAGTACCCTTACGATGCTTCATAACTGCCACCTGTTTCGACTCTTGAGCAACGCCTCATTTTTCGTAGCTGTGCTTTGATTAGTCCTGCAAGGCTAATTAGGTTTTCGAGTGCTTGTTCAATGAGGAAAAAGCAGAAAATGCATGTTGGGCATGATAGCACTGTTCTTTATAGCTCCGTTCTCCCTGATTTCTGATGCCTTTGAGCACGAGAGTGGAGCGGCAGCACTGATGCAGGTCAAGCAATACAGTATGTTATCGATAGGTTCTTGATTTGTATGAGTCTACACTAGCACCATAACAATTTTTTCCTCGTAGTCTATTCTCTTCCGGTCTGTCATTCGAGTCGGAGCGCCATACATATAAGTGTAACGAGGTGTGTTGATCATCCCATGGGCACCCACTTTCCGGTCCACAGAGGCTAGCCAAGATTGTCAAAGTGCCACGACGGAGAGCAATTTCGGACGAGTTTCCCGTTGGCATCGTGCCAGTAACCGCTACGGTAGATACGGCTGCATGTGTGTGCTCATATATCCATGCAGCACCGCAGCCGCTTCATATCAATCCCTTCGCTTCATATTGTACTTCGCAAATGAAGCGATACGAGCATCAACATCAGTTGACATTTGTGGACGGGCGCGATGGGTTTTCGGGTCGGTATGCAGCTTGATAGGGCGACACAGGGGTACCTTCTCTGGAAAAAGCACCCACCTGCCCTCAAGCAACAGTATCTATCAAAGAGTAGGACGAATTTTGCATAAGCGCAGAAATTTCCGTTCTTGCTCTCCGTCTTTTTCGGAAGAGTCGATAAAAAAGAATCAGTCTTTCGCCGCTCGAAATGCGGCCCACACTCTATTTTCATTCGGAATCGTTGTGCCTTATTGGATGTGAGATGACCCATGCAATCACCTGCTCTGGTAAACCTGTGAGGAGTCAACGTTTTCATCCTTCCGGACAAATTATACCTCATGCTAGATCACTGTCTCTGGATGCAAGAACGCTCGTTTGGCCTGAGCGAGAGCCATTCCAGGGTTTAACCCTTGTAAGCGAACCACTTCCGCTACACCACCTGGAAAAGTAATCAAGCGAGTTCAATGCATGAGATTTAACCTCTTGAAACCTACGGACAGCAGTATCTCTGCTGACTGAATGACATTTTATTGGGGTAGACTTAGGTGTGGGGCACATCACAGAGCCCATATTGCCCATATTTGGGAGTAGGATATACGCATAGGAATGCATATGAAGCGTTTAGCCGCTTGCTTATAATTTTAGAGTTCGCTCTGTGTTTCCTCACCAAATGCTCACCTGTGCAAGACTTTATCATTGAAAGAGAAGCCATAAATATGCTTTTCGACCTATCCTTGGCTCCGCACCCACCGTAACATTGCCTACAAGTTCGCATTTGAGCATGTTTGAGCCTCTCTATCTGCATATGTCTTGCTACCGTGGCATCTGTCTTAAAGGCACGGTCCGCGATCAGGGTAATCGAAGTTGAAAAATATGGGACGATCAGGTTTTAGAGTTGGTCCGCGACGAAACCGATTGTCTTTTCGCGGAACAAAAATTTTATGGGAGGGGCGCTGTAAGCGATTAGTTTGTGGATCCTATTTTTTTCCATTGACTCAGCCTCCAGACTCCGCCCCTATTGACCGACTTTCAGTGAAAAATGGGATCGCAGGACAAAAAAGCATGTTAATCGCCACTTGTACGATCGTAGAAATCTTATAGGTGAATCAGCCGTGCATATGAGGAGTGTTTTGTGAGATACGAGTTTGATTGGCCACCGTACAACTGGGATCCGTAAATGGGATTTCTATCTAGGGTGCACGTGGCATGCTTTTTGCATTCTGAGAGGCGACTAATCGCGGTTCTGTTAAACGGCGGGGATACGTCCTAATGCTCCTAATGCTGCAAAAAAATTTTCGGGAATTATGACCCCCCCTCCCTTCCCCATCCTAACTACCACTTTCTTAGATATTCCCAACATCCTACCACTTTTTCCGGGATTCCCCCAGGATGTTGCCGTTTAGGGGTCGAGGGTTTATCCAGTAGCACATGTAAAAGGGGATAATACGCGTAAGTCAGCAACCAGTTGAAATTTTTCCCCAATGTCGCAAATTTCTTTCAAAGGCAATACGCCCCCCCCCTTCGCTCGCTGAGGATTCCCTTACGTACGACTTCTGGTCTTAAACTCATTGTGGACCGCAGTTCCACGTGTACTGCATAATTTCATCTTCTTCTTTCACCGATCACTAGTAATAATATTCAGTAACTTCAATGGTTGAGTAAAATGTCTTTTCCTGTTCCGAAAAAGTAGCTACTTGACTTTGGAACAGGATGTTTTGTTTAGGAAATCAGGCAATACTCTTCATTTCGTTTGTGACTCAACTTTGACCTCGTCGTTCTGCCCGGCTCCACTCATAGTTTATAGAAATTCACCTTCACCACTTACTGTGTAATCTAGCACCCGTGCTTCCAGCGTTTCTGTATCCCTATTCACCGGATGTTCAATGTTGGAAATGGGATTTATTAGGGCCCTTTTTAACGTATTATTCCGCTTATCCCTTTGGAATAGCTCCTACGAGTTAATATTTGAAGTGTACCTCCCACAACTAGGAATCGCGGAATATGCCCTTGAGAAGTTTCATTTTGCCAGTATTCGTCAGAAGCTTTTCCCAGTTCATTGCTATATAGTCATTGCTAGTCCTGCATAAAGGAATGGAATGAACCATTGGCTGGATACTCCTCTCAGTGTCCCCTCCTGGATCTCTCGCCTCTCACAGTGCGAGTACTTCCACAGCTGAGTTGAACTTTTCTCAAGAGACCAAGTACGAACATGTGGAGACAGCTGTTAGACGGAACTCATCTGCATGCTCCTTGATGCGAAGAGGGCTCTTATGCATGCGTAAATTGCTTTAGGCCATGCGAATGTTCATCTTTAGCAGATTCCAATACGTAGCTGAATGCAAAGAGCTGCCTGCACCAATGCTGCACTTCTTTAAGGGATCACTGATTCCCGGAAAAAAAAACCGTCGCCTATAAGAGATTCACGTCTCACGGTTTAAAACCATGACATATTTCTTCTACCAAGACTATAGACATTGTGAGGCAAAAGTGGTGTAGTGGCAAAGAGCTTACCACACGTGCAGTCCGGCGGTCAAATCCCGGGTCGGCTCGGCCAGCCCAGCGAGCCTTTCACCCTCCGGGACGGTAAATTGGTACCAGATTCGTCTGGGAGGATAAAACACTGACTTGTACATCGGCTGGCCACCGCAAGTCATTGTATAGGCCACATCGCATTCAAGTAAGCCACTACGTTCTTGAATGGAAGTTAAAATGCGTACCGCATCCTTAACCCAAGGATGATGATTGATAAATGGCAGGGACTTCATCCTTAATCGCTTCTTATCACGCCCAAAGTCTGTTTGAGTATTCAACTCCAACTCCTACTCAACAACATGTTGCTGAAGTTAGTTTAGTTAGTTCTGTGTTGGTTTCTGAGATAACGGGTATGGCAATGCTCTACGCTTCAGGGTGAATATGCCCGGTACAGAGGGGAATAATGTTCTCAAGCAGGCAAAGTGTTTCGTAGTGACTAATAAGGCCCACCGCGCCTGCACCCATGAATGACCGCGCCTGTTTTTCCTTATTCCTCTGCACTCTGGCTCTTCCGGCATTCAAATAGCATTACTAACATTCCGAAAAGCTATTGTGGAAACCCGCCCACGTCTGCAACCAATTGGCAAAATAATTTTTTTTCATTTCGATGGTTTAACCGTTTGTTCCACCTTCTTCCCATTGGGCCCAGGCCAGCTCAAGTTGGTTTGAAAAAGTTACCTTGCCGTTCTTTGATCCTCTAAACTCTTGATGATGGTGACTTCGCCTCTCGCTTTTTCGTGTGACCGTCCAGTAGTGAAGATAATGGTAGTGAATTCAAAATGAAGTGCACGTTACCGACCCATGCGAAAATCTCTGCTAGCAAGAAGTCAGAAGCGATCTGAATTTCCACAAGAAAGCCCAGAATGGACAACCGAGACGAGTGCCCTTCAATAAGAATCACCTACTGTCAATTATAGTGCTCTGAAGTAGAGCGTTGCGTCTCTTAACTGTTACGTGGAGACAATGTAGTTTTCTAACCCAGGTTTTCTGCCTGCATTGTACAACCGTTAATGAGATTGTTTCGTTGTGATAACTGCTGTCAATGCCAAGTTGGTGACACCAAGTTAAACGTGTGAGTGCTGTAAGGCTACGGCATAAAAGCCGTTAAGCTGAGAGGGTAAAAGCGGCCCTGGTGGCGTAACGGATAGCGCACTCGCCCGGAAAGCGTGAGGTGCGGGTTCGACTCCCGCCTGGGGGGCACGACTTTTGCCCATAACTCAGCATTCTTGTGGTAACGATGAGATTGTTTCAGTGCTATCGGCGTCTTCTGGGGGGATACCGTGATGTCGGAATCATTAGAGTTCATGCGGCGCTTGGTGGGAAAATAGAGCGTAATGCTTGAATGTTCGGAACCACAAGACGATCATTCACTCAGAACGCTAAGTCAAGCGACTTCCCCATATTGACTTAATGTTCCTCAGTCATCCCCATATTGCACAGAACAATAAAGGCACATCTAATACGTAGAGACAAGAGGAGAGAAGTTGGAGAGCCGCTTAAATACGTTTTTCGGAAGTATCTCATGTTCAGCCCCTTTTCTCTCTATTCTCTCTCACCTCAAAAACCTGAATTATCTTGAAAAATTTGCCAAAAATCTGTCTCATGAACACTTTGCATAATTGGACCTTCAAGAAATCCTGAATTTCATCCTTGGATTATTTCCAAAGGCTCCGACGAGATACATTGTCCAGAAGGCAGAAGAACTGTTGCAGAAATGCCCTACCGGAACCGGCGCCTGTGGAAGTATTGGTTGAGATCACGATACAAGACATTTCGGATATCTCAGCAATTACCGGAACATTCGTCATCGACTTCTGGATAAGTGCGATTTGGATGGATAGCAGGTAAATGTATTTTCATGACAATGGAAATTTTTAGGAGCTCGCCTCGCCATTTTCACTGATTTTGGCCTGCAAGGCTGCAATCGGAACTGATTTCAGATTGTCGTTTGACCATCTGGACCCATGCAGAAAGAACCTGTCTTTAGACCACGATATGGAGCCTCGGCTATGGTCTCCTAATGTCTGCGTCGTCAACTCGAAGCTGACAAAGGTGAGGAAGCATTACATCGCTGCTGACTAGATGTTGCTACTAGTTCTTGGTATACAGCAGCGATTCAAAGTATCTGTCAAAAATGGTTCAAAAATGTCCACTTGTTTGTTGACCTTGTAGCGTCAAAAGTGGCTCTGTATAGGTGCTTTTTAGTGGACATTATCTGTGCGTTTTTCCCCCTTGGTCAACTGCAGAGAAGTTGTGTAGCGACTCTTTCGACGCCCTCCTTTTACCTTTCCAACCGGTCTGAGGAAAAGTACCTTACATTTGGTGACGTGTCGCTACACTCCAAAGCAATACCTAAGCCTTAATACTACTTGTTACGTTCCGATTATTCGTTTTTCTTTGCTCCACTTACAGTTCTTGTTGAGTTGTTGGGTTTCCGAAAACTTGTATTAAGCTTTTCCTGGAAACTTCAGGGAGGGGGGTCTAAAGGTTTTCCATCTGCCCTTATTAGAGTCTTGTTCGCGGGGGGGGTGCCGGGAGGATTAGATTTATCGCTGCGTCAACCCGTTCTCTGCCAATTGCTGAAGAGAGCGAGGACAATAATTGGCGGAATGAGACTGGCACCGCCCTCAACCCAGTTCCCTTGACACCCGCAGCATCTGCAGCGAACAAGACTGTAAAGAAGGCTCTGTTGTGCTTTTAAGAGCATTCTCACCTGTGGAAGTCCATATGGTCATAACGGAAAACACCGAACCTGGCCAAAACAGGCTTGGTCTCACGGCGTTGTAAAGTTACCCTAATCCACCCGCTATAGTGCCATGAATTGACTCTGGAAGCTCGGAAACGAAAATTTCGACGTTATGATCATGCCCCTACTTGACGAAAGTGATTTCCGACGAACTCAGTTTCGTGAATCTCACTAAAGAACTTCGACATGGCTTGCCTAATCTTGAAGAGCTCCTCAGTCGCAATCACCGTGATGTCACTTTCTAGATGGAGTCGCCCTGGGAAAGTTTGAAAGCCAGTCAGCCATGCTAGGCGCCCTGGCAATGAGATCTTGCTTACGTACTCGTGACAGACCTCAAAACTTCAGGTCCTGAGATCGGCAGCTCATGCCTCCGTGCTACATTATGTTCATGGATGGGCTCCATGGGCAGCAACTCCTCTTTACCCCTTTCACTCCTCCCTAGTTGTGGAGGCTCCATCATCACTTGAAAGGTGTATGGATCGGGCTTTGGTCGGGCAAGCACGATACTCTTCATCGCACGTTCAGCTTGCTAACGTGACAGTAGCTTTGGGGACGACTGGACAATCGATGGTCGGCTACCACCAGCTGAAAAAAAGTAAAAGTTGAAACGAAGGGAAGGTCAAATTAATCACTGTTGCTCTGGCTCGCCTACGATGCAGAAGGATCGC